CTCGCCTGCATTTCGCGCACTCCACACGCACGATCTCCGCAGAGGGTTGCACTTTCGGTTGACGCTGTTCGTCCCACACTCCGCCTTTAAGAGAGAATTTTTAAAGTGGGGAAATGTTTTTTCATTAGGACATCTCCCGTGCTAGTTTTCCATATTTTCCATACTCACACTTGCTTGCATACTCACACTTGCATACTTTGACCCTGGCATACTTCGCACTTGGATGCTTTCGCTCTTCCAGTGTGTGTGTGTGTGTGTGTCAGTGTGAGTGTCGAAGTGTAAGTGTGTCAGTGTGAGTGTCGAAGTGTAAGTGTCGAAGTGTCAGTGTTCAAAGGTTTTCCGGAAGAACCCTTCGCAATGCTTTCGGGAATTAGGTGAATTCCCAACAAAAAAGACGATGGAAACTCCACGAGGCGATCTCTCGTGGAGCTGTGCAGAGCTGGAGGGATGTCTCACAGATCTTGACCTTGCTGGCTTCGCTGAATCTACGTTGTGACCAGGCGAGGTGGGCAGACCGCGGCCTCGTACCGTGGGCCGAGGTGGTCAGGCAACGGTCTGGCGTCCAGACTGACCATTTTGCTTAAAAACACTTGCTATAGTGGCAAAGTGGTGGAGGGAGGCAAGCATCTATCCCATGATGCAGCATGTACTTACGTGTAATATCCTTTAATATGCTATCCAATGATACTGTATCGTTTTTCCCCGTTCTCGGAGCGATTGATGACGTGCGGATGACTTCATGGTTGCCTTGACGTCAGGTTGTATTTGGTGCTGCCTTAGGAACGCACCTTGGTCAGACAAAACAACAAAGGAATTTTGCTCTTGTGGCTGCTGCTGGGAATGGGCCACAACGGAACTATGGTATATGTGTACCTCCCCTACTGCAAATACTGCAATCTTGTGTAATCTTAATTCCCCTCTAGGCCTCTAGGTATGGTCCATGGCTTTTGTGGGTTGTGAAGATTGACCCCCAGCAGTGCCAGCATCCATGTGGTTTGTCATCGGGTTCGTTTCATCCGCCGCCGCCTTTGACTTTTGCCACCAGCGCTGAGGCTTGCCAAGGACTCCCGGTGCCAATGATGCAGAACGAGTTTTCTCCGGATATTGTGTATGTCGGCGGGGCCACAACACCCAAGGCATCCCGGATACCGCAATCTGGACCCACACTCTCACAGACAAAACCCTTCACCATCTTTACGAGTCTGTTTCTCTACGCGTCCATAAACTGAAGAGGATGTCGTCTCGCAGGAGAGAGAGTGGCACGATGCGCTGGCCACCCTGGGCATGATGCGGAGCGCTGGGCTGCGCAGCAATCTCATCACTGAAAGTGCGACCGTCATGGCCTCAGCACACGGAACGTCGACCGAACTTCGAGCAGCTCCTTGAAGGCTGGTGACTTTGGTGTGATTTTTTGATATTGTTTGTATGCTTTTTTCCGTCACTTCTGCACTTTTTGGGGGGGAACGAGGTCGGAGCCTGTGCCAAGAGTCTGAGATGGTCTAGAGCCTGTGGAATTTTGCACGTGATGCGTCAAGCGCAAGTTCAGCCCAACACGATCGCCTACAACTCAGCCCTTTGGACGTCGATTTTTGCTCTTTGTGCGTCGTGGACTTTGAAGACATAGGGTAGGGAATGAACCGGGATTCAACATGTCTTACGTGGGCATCAGGGGGTGTGGAGAGAGTAGATGACCCTCGCGTACTTCGCACTTTGTGTGGGCATGAAAACGATTGTGTGGACGAGCCAAATCAATGGGTATTTCCCACACAACTTGTGAACACATTGGCCTCCTTTTTCATCCTCTTTCCAATCGTATTTTTCTCTTCACCGGTGCCACTGGGTCCAACATGGTCCACTCGCCAGGCCATCACCGCGTGTGGCGCCCGCAGCGGGAGCTGGTTTCGGGCCATGCAGGTCTTCGAACAGCTGCGGCTGCTGGGGCTTCCTGCAGGGAACATGTCTTACAACACGGTGATCAGTGCCCTGGAGTCCGCGACCCAGGGGTGCGAGTTCGGAACCAGCATAGCCGTCAAGTCGTCCTGGGGCTGAACTGTTCCACTTCCTGAAGGGGAGTGGAGATTACCCTGATGCCGGATTTTTATGCGTTTTGATATGACACCACGATGATGGAATTTAAAGTGAGCAGTTGCTTCATCTCTTGATGTATATATATATATATTTTTTTGTGTTTTTTTGGTGAGACCTTATTGCAAATGTGGTCTGGTGATAGGGGAGCTAGAGATTGGATGAGGCTGAGAGAATCATGGAAGACCTTCGTGGTTTTGTTGGACTTTGGCAATCCAGGAATCCTTGAAATCCTTGGCCTTGGACTATCGACAACGACCTGTGCAAACATTCGTCGATACTTCCAGAGGTACCGCCAACAATGGCAAAGGGGCCTTAGCTTTCTGGAGGACCGAGACGTGGGCCACCAGGGGAGAACACGGCGAAACCAACAGCAGGTCTGAACTGTTCAGACAATTGCAGTTTTTGTTCGCAGGAACTCATTCAGTGGAGACTCGGAAAGCTCAACTTTGCCACAGCCAATGTGGTGAGTTTCAACTCTGCTTTGAGCTGCTGCCGAAAGGCGCCGAGCGGGCCGAGAGTAGATGTCGTCGGAGTGTGAGATGATGAATGAGCCGGGTTTCCGAGGAGCTGTTGCAGCTTACAGAGATCCTGAGATAGTCAGCCGCAGGTCTCACAATGGCAGCGAGGCCTCTTCTTGCTCAAGGCATGGTCCTGCAATGTCTTGCAGTCTTGCAGCCTGGCATTCCTCCAGTTGGTTACCCTCCCAGAAAGCTAATACTAATACCAATAACAGATCCACCGCCTGAGGTGGGGAAGCAGCTTGCAGTATCAGCATGTTTCGTTAGAAGGACAAGCTTTCTGCAGTGGAACTCTGAGTGTCACCTAACCTGGGCGAAGGTGCCAGGAGCAGATGATGTGCTTGAGGCTTAGAACTGTCCGACGGGCTTGATTCCGGGCTTGAAGGCTGCAACATGTTGCAACCGAAGGCTGCTTCCTGCAAACTCAGGACCTATGGCACCGCAGTGAGTGCCTGTGCCACTTGGAGCCACTGGGTCAGCCGCAAGATACCGGACCAAGCTTGCCGGTTTGTACCGAGGATCATGCTTGGCAATGGCGTTGGGCTTTGCAGCTGTTGGCTGAGGCAGATGACATTTGTCGGGTGGATGTCATGACCTTGAACTCAGCCATGAGCGCCTGCGCGACCAATGTCTGAATGGAATTGAAGGGAGTTCTTCGTGGAAGGAGGTTGGACAGAGTTCGACAAGACGCAGACGGAGGTTTCGGTTTCCGTGCTTTGGTTATGCGTACGCAACATTCTCTAACAAACAAGAGCCCCAGGAGCCCTGAAAGACCAGAAACAGCTTTTCGGATCGATTTCTAACTTATTTTTTTCCAAAACCCTTTAATGGTTTTCTGATGTTTTCTTTGATGAAGGGCAAGACCAAACCAAGAAACTTCTACCAAGGCATGGGTGTTTCCTCGGACAATTCATGAACAATTCGAATCTACATTTGCCAAGCACCGGTTGAAGCAGGCTATCCAACTTCCTGGTCAGTCCCAGTGCACACTCCGTCTCGTGAACCCGAGGAAAGTGCAGCAGTGGCAGCCCTGCTTGGGACTGCTGAGTGACATGCGACACAAAACTGTAGCGACCCCAGTGGTCACCAAGGCGATTTTTAGAAACTGCGCCAAATCCGAGGTGCCAAGCAAGGTCAGCTTCACCACCGCCCTTGGAGCTTTGACCAGCGCTGATACCAGAAGAAGTTACATAGGCTTGCAGGCGCCACCGGCCGCCCACACGGCTGCGCTAGCTGCGCACTCGTTCCGTGGAAGACGCGAAAGGTTTGCAGCGCCAACTGAAACGAGTGCAGACCTTGACGATCCGCTCCTGTTGGAGCGCAGACCCATATCGGAAGAAGAACGCACATGAGTGAAACGGGTCGGCGCTGTGAAACGGTGACCTACCGAACGGTGCGATCCTTGGGGAGAGGGCCTCATTATAGGGCTCCATGGGCCTCGTGGTTTCGGCTCGGATCCCTGGTGAGCGATCCCTGCAGTTGCTGATGGAGATGAAGCAGCAGAGGATCCAACCCAATGCGCTGGGATACAGCATCGGCATCGAAGCGTGTGAGGCCGACGGGTCCACCACTTGGACTGCACATATATGTGATAAAAATCGTATTTAAAAACACTCTACACATACAGTGCAACAATTTGTATGTCAGAGACCTTTCCGTGGTGGAGTTTATTCTTTTTTGGGTCCCTCTTTCTAAGACACAATGAAGTCACTCACCACACGTCTGACTGATGGGGACGGTTGTAGACACGCTGCAGTCTGCCGATCTTCACCAAACGGTTCCAGAGCTTGTTGCTGGTGCAAGTGCTGCCGGTGCCACTGCCTGTGCTGCTGCAGCCGTGTCTTTCGAGGACAGGAACCAGATGCCATGAGCCATGTCTTTTTCTGCCTGTTCTTCATGCGGCTGTTGACGGCCATGTGAGCGGCCGATCGTTGGAAGGAAGAGGATCGGCATGGCGACCACGCAGGTCTTGCAATTGTGCAGACCTTGGATGTCCAGAGAAAGCGCAGCACAAAGACGTGAGTGCAACTTCAAGTTGGTGGGGGGTCCCCTATTAAAATACAAGCCATACAAACCCACAAACGCTGAGGTTGCCTCAGATGCGCTGGCATGGCAGGGAAGGCTGGATCTCATCCTTTGGCAAAAGATCAGCCGCCAGCTTTGCCGACCCGCCGCGAGGAGGTGGGATGGGCGGAGAGCCGTGGGATTTGGGACTCGTGCTGCGCCAGCTCCCCAATGACGCCAGGGCCATTCGCATTGAGACGATGACGGACGGGCCATGTTTGGATGTTTGGTCCATGGGTGGCCAAGACCGCAGATACACGATTGACATCATGCGCACATACACCACATATCTAACAGATGCAGGTAACCTGAGATGGAGATGGATCAAAAGCTGAACAAGCTGAACCCAGAAACCACCGTTCGATCCAATTTGGCAATTCTTGAAGAGTATGCACTCTTTTCAGCTGACTTGGCCGCCGGGCATCACCACAGTTTGTTGCCATGACGGCGTGCGATGACAGAAGCAACGCTGAAGGAGGAGCTGGGAATCATCGTGGCCCGTGGCTCCTCATTGGCGATCTACCAATTGTATAGACAGACAATTATTTTCCCCAATCCCATCAAACAGTTTGAAGCTGGTTTTACTTGTTTATCCCAGGGCTTCTATGGCATGTATGTAGTATGCCATCCTGCTAGTAAGTCTTCAATGTATATACTGTAATGTGGTCAATGAGGACATTGATGCAAACTGACTCATCAGGAAACAGCGACTCTTCATCCTTGCGTTCTTTGCTGTCCTATGCAGAAGTGATACTATCACAGGAGAGTCTAAGCCGACATGGGCCATGCATGGCCATACCAGAAGAGAGGTCATGCGTCATGAGGGCATAGTGTGTACGTATATATATATATATATGCGTGTGTACATCCACCGTTACACCCACAGGGCACATCATATTCCAAAACATGTACAGTAGGTGGTTCCAGGGGGGTGGTTGTGATGACGTAGAGCACCAGCCCAGCTTCTTCCACAGGAGCTGCTGGCCGCTGAAGCGGCCTTGGCTGAGCTTCGTTCCCAAGTGAGCTTTGAGCCTTGGCGACAGATCAACGTCCGAAAGATCCGTGGGCAAAAGCGTGGAGTCGAGCATGTGGGCGAGAACAGCGGCCTAAGGCACGTCAGCTAGCTGCCAAGCATGAATTGAAAGCACAACGCTACCAGTTGGAGCTGGATGCAGAGCGCCAACGAAATGACGAGCTGGAAGGCCAGATTGCAAGTTGCACTGACGTGTGATGATCCGATGATCCAACTTCCTGCGATGTCACTCTTCAAATTTGTTCAAACTGACTCTGGAAGTTAACTTCTTTTGACTCTTTATGACCAGGTGATGGCGACGGCGTGCCTGAGGCCATTGCCCAGGAGAGCCCCCCTTGCCAAATTCATGAAACTTTCAGATGCAGGCAATGGCTCAGAACAACACCTCCCCTCCCAAACTTCCCAAGTTCACACTTTCACCAGCTCTGTGTTTGGTTGGAGATCGGTTCCAGCTCTTCCTTCAAGTCCGTCCCTCCTCTGCTCAGCGAAAGGACCTTGAGATGTCCGAGCTCCTCAGCGCCGAAGCGCGCCGCTCGTCCGCGGAGGCCCAGCAGCTGCGGCGTCCGGCGCTGCGGGCGGCGCAGCTCCTCAGCGGGGCGCAGGAGCTGCTGGCGACCGTCGATGCCGAGGCCCGCTGCGCCGAACGAACGGAAGGGTCCTCCGTATCAAGTGTGTGTATCAAGTGTGAATTACAAACGGAGGGATCAGCAAACATGGGCAGAGCAAATAAGTTTGTTCCATTTTGTTCAGGTTCTTGGATGTTTTTTTACCTCCAGAGTGCACTACCAGTTGTTGACGGAGCAGTTCCTTCATGTTCCTTCACTTGCGGGCGTGTCGTCTACTGTGGTTGCAAGTCTAGATGGTAATAACACAATCAGACATTGTGTAATCACATACATAATGATTAGAATGATTTAAAGTTGGAATAAGTAGACCGTAGATCCATTTAGTTCATGACTGGCGCACACAAACCGTGATTATGCAGCATAGTCAATAGCAAACATGGGGCCGCTGACGGGCTCGAACAGTTGGCACGTGTGTCGTGCACATCATCTCATCATCCCATCCGAATGTAGACTCTTGATTAACAGATGTTCTAAGAACCCCCCATATGAAGAGGTCGTTGAATTCAATTGGGGGTGGTCTATTAATTCAAGAGTCTACATCACACATCGCCCAGGAGTCCATGGCCATGGCCACGGAGGTGGCTTGGCGTCAGGACGCCTTGGAGTTCGAGGAGGCCATGGCGAAGGAACTCCGACAGGACTTGCAGAGCGAGGCGGAGGCCAACAAGGCCCGGGACCGGAGCCTTGTGGGGACTGGGCCAAACTGACCCTTGCTTGATTATGTTGATTCATGATCAGTTGTAGTAGGGGATTCCCCCAAGTGTGCAACCAGTGGGTACATGGCACCAAGCTGACCCCTCTACTATTGCGCAAAGTCGAGCACCGAGTGGGTGTCACGCGTGCCTCGAGTCGACAGAAAATGGCATCGTCAACAGGGTCTACCCTAAGCCTGCCTGCCTCACAAACTTGGAGACAAGAATTGAACCCACGTTCTTGCGTGCCTGCAATCGAGGTCACAAACTTGCCTGCTCTTAACAAATTGCACCCACGCTCAAGAGCCAGCTAATCCTAAAGCCTAACGCCCCTCGCGCAAATGCGAGGCCGCCCTCTCCGAATACTCGATGCTCCGGAGTCAGCGGGATGCTTCGATGCTTCCAAATTTCAAGGATCACGAGAAACATATTGATGATATTGATGTAGCTGGCCTCAAATTTTACATTCGATCGATTTGGGCGCATGTTGGGATAGGTTCATGGTTGTACGAATCTGTAGCTGCTCTGCTCTCGATTTCCTCGATGAGGAGAGCTCCATGCAGCTTCTGGACGAAGCTGAAATTCTCCAGAACCAGCTTGAAATTGCTTTGGGTGCTGACCTTTGGCGACGGATGCGCCGTGAGGCACAGCTTGGAACCGATGTCTCGTACACTCGTCAGAGCTCGTTTTCAGGTTTGTTGTGCGTGGGCTGACTGCCGTTCACCGCTTTTAGTTTTCCTGTAGGCCTGGCTTGACCATGATCAAAGCCTTACGTCACAAAGATCGAGCACGGGGAGTGCGAATGCTCAGGTGCGACGTACGGTGGGTTTGAAGCGACTCCACATTTGACACAAGCTCGTCCCTTGAGGTTATACAAATACAGTCAAATACAGGTTCCCCTTGACCACCCATGAACATGCACAAGGCACGAAACTGGATCTTTTTAAAAAGACCTACTCTGCTTGACTTGTGACTTTAGCTTCGCAGGTTTGATCTGACTTGATCTCAGATCGTTTGTTGGCTCTTTGGGCTCAATTGAGCCAACAGGTGGCTGCTGGCTGAGCAGCCTCATGGCTGACCCGAACCATTTGATATTTGTTATTAGTGACTCTTCTGGTGAACTCCGTGCCGTGCCCGTTGCCGACGGAGAGCAGCCAGTTCCAGGTGCGCAGCACGAGTCGGTCATGCTGCTAACTGCCGACCGTCGACAGTTCGGCGGAAACGGACTCACAGTTTCTGACCCTCGAAGTAGACAACCTCCAAAAAAACATCGAGTTGTAGACAATCTCCTTAGGTTTGGAGCGTCTTTTTTTCCGGGCCATTTTGCACTTCCATGATTGGAGGGAGGGTAGATCAATAACCAGTAGACAAGCTGAACGACTACAAAGAGCAATGTTTGGCCAGCGACGATCATGTCAGACGTGAGTGGTCCAACATGAAAGATTTGGAAAAACGTGAGATTTTGGATTTATTAGACACAATAAGCTACTATAGGAACAAGTGCATCGCTACTAGGAGCAAGGGCCATACTAGTAGTAACAAGAAGCTATTAGAAACAAGAAGCTTGTTTTGGTCTTGGACGTGAGCACGCAAAGATGCTCCACACACCCACGCAATCCCACACACGCATACGCGCACTCTTGGGAAAAGTTGAAGATCATTTTTAATTTTTAATGGCTAATGTTGTGCTATTGGCCCGGGGAGAGAGAGGCCCATATAGGTTCCTTGTTTGATCTTGACGGCCCTTTGTGTGTTTCGCAACGCTCTAGGTCAATCGGCTAGTGATGAAAGCCAAGACCATTCCAGTGAGAGCAAAGCTTTGAAGAGTGGCTCTGGAAGCTCGTCTGGAAGTGGACACCCGACACAGGAATCCGGCCCACAAAAGTCTACCGACCGTGACCTGAGTCAGTCCGGCAAAGGAAGTGGTAAATCTGCATTTCCGACGGGTGACAGCTCTTCCAGTGGAACCATGGAGCCTCACAAGCCGAGCTCACGTGGGCTTCAAGCACAGAGCAGCCAGGATAGTGGTGGAGCTCGCTCCAGTGGTCACAGGCCGGCGGGAGCGGGCAGTTCAAGCTCTGGGGACGTGCCGAGTGGTGCTGCAGCAGCTGCGAGTGGTCGCACAAGCGAAAGCACCTCGTCGGATTTCAACTTCAATGGCGTTCCTGGGCTGGACGGCGTCAGCCTGAGCTGTGGTTCCAACCGGGGCACAAGTACAGAGCAACAGTCGGAGATTGGTGAGAAGGAGGAGGGTGGCCAGAGGGCCGTTTGCCTGACACTTGGGTGATGCGTGGTTCTAATTTGATTAGTCATGAAAGCTAACTACAATCGAATGAACATTATATATCATATATAGGTATACTATGGTATACTTACAAAAAAAGGTTAATAAACTATTTTGAAGAATTCACGCTGTCATCTCCGACCATGTCCGACCATGTCCGACTCGTCCGCGCCTTCAGCCGCGAACCGGGGACCTATGGTTGATCCGCCTGGAGGACCAAAGCTTTGGCACCTGGGCAGCCCACCAGACACTTGGCAGACATCTCCGCATTCTCCCCACCGACCGTTCGCCTGCGCGGAACGACGTTCTTGATCGACAGGTCCTTTTTTCTCTGGGTGTTTTCCATTGTTTTCCGGGTGTGTTTTCTGTCATTGACGGTCCGAGAGCTTGAGACTTCTAGTAGAGTTAGCGGTACCTTTGTTTCTGGCTTGCGGAGGGGGAAGTTCTTCAACCTGTCACTCAAGGAATGGTACATGCAAACC